GTTGAACACGTCGTTGTCGTCAACATCTTGTGGCTCGTCCACGTCGAACACGTTGTTGTCGTCATCATCATCTTGTGGTGCTGGAACGTTGAGATCGAACCCAGTGTCGGCTTCGTCATCTTCGGATGCCAGTAGGTTGAGATCGAAACTAGGAATATAATCAGACATTTGTACTGGGAGTAGAAGCAAGAAGGAAAGAAGAAGAAAAGGCGTGGAGTAGATGCAGTACTGGGAGCAGCATCTGAACGGTTTATAGTACTAGGAGCAGCGTGTGTAGACGCGCCAACACACGCGCGCGAGAACGCCGAAAATGCGTCTGAATGCCGAAAATTTGAAAGCAAGCGAACCTGTAAACGCACCAACACACGCGCGAGAAAGCAAAACGAGAGCAAACGCTAAAAACACTCCTACATGCGCGCATCACCTGTGCCAAAACGCTCCTGTACGCGCGCGCGAACGGCCAAACCCCGACCTCACGCGCCCAAACTCAAGCAGCACAGCGCCATGCAACGAAGCACAGTGCCATGCAAATAATCTGGTGAATACCAAAAAAATACCACGGCTGCCGGCACTCGAACGGTGGACGTCCGTCCTCGGGCCGCAGAGCCTTGGCCACTCGAGCTACGAAAGTTCGCTGGATAAGCAGCACGTGTAGGCCTATTTAATAAAGGGAATGATGGAAAATTAATCTCTAATTAATTTCTTCTTGGTATGCACAATTCTGTCATAAACGACTTATTTTATGGTTACGGAGGGAGTATGAATTCATAGACTTTATAGAAGGAAACATATATAACAACAAAAGGTTTAATGGAATACTCTCCGGCAGGTCAACCAACCGAATGAACAGACTGATTGTTCTCTCTCAGCTTGACTGAGATTTCTCCCGGTAAATTTAAAACCACCATCAAAAGACATGGAGCGGCGTCCTTTTCACCCACGCACTCGTAACACCTGTCGCCCGCCCACGCCCCCGGACGCCCCCACGTCTCCGCCCATCACCCCGTCCGGCCCCACGCACAAGTCCCGACGCATTCACCAGCTTTCGAAAGCCACGCTCGTCCTTGCGTGGCACCGCGTCTGCGTTCCCGTCCATCCCTTCGCCGATTCCTCACCGGCTCGCGGCACGTAGTAAGCACACTGCACGCCGGTCGACACGACGCAGCTGTCCGCGTCGCCGCTGACTCCAGCCCCGTGAGGTCAGGTCTCCCACCGCAATTGTTGGGAAGCAGCGTTTTTCGGCGGGTGATACGAGGAGGACCTTCGTCCGGTCTTGACATAATTAGGGTTCATAAATGTACTCACCAATCTCTAAATAAATTTCATATTTCTCTTTTTACTAGGCAGTGTACTCGTACATTGCTACGGGACAACTAAATTTTTATACTAAAAACACATAGATCGCACGATAAGATAATAATACTATAAAATTAAATATCAACGTTAAAGTTACCGTTAATCCAAAAAGCAAAGTTTGTGAAATTAACAGTCACGGAGAGCGCGACGTCACATGCTTACAAACTCTACTTTATAAACCTTTTCGTGATGTGACTAAGATAATGTTTTATATCGGCAGAAAGAAATCTCCGATATCCATTTCTTTCGTGCGCCAATAAATCCACGAATAAGTTCCGTCACATCTCCATACCATCCTATACACATGCTCGAGTATATATGTCAATATTAGTGCATGTCGCATGGGTAATACTGCGTCCCTTGAAAAATCTTCCACAAAAACTTAAAACAAAGTGTTATACTCACCGTATAAATATATGTGGCTTTTGGTCTATTCCACGCAGACATATAGTGTAGAATAAGATATCCACTTAAGTATCTGTTGCAAGATTCACGATCAGCGATATATAGAAATAGTTAAATCATATGTATTATTATTGCAAGCTATAGTGACTTTGCGTTAGTTATCCATCTATGTAAGGATCACCCCTGCATTCTAAAAGCTTCTGCTGTTCATATCAGGATGTAGTTCTTTTTTATAAATATTTTCTTTCGGGGACTTCCAAGAACTTAGGATTAGCCTTAAGGACTAATATTAAAATGTGTCACTTAGCTTAAACAATTTTGAGGTAATTGCCTTGAAGCATTCATGATTTATAATTTCTGTTCTATGGTAAATTTCTCTTTCAAATATCTTTGAATATGTTCGCATTAACTTCAAGATGCTACTGAATATGGTGAGAAAAAAAGTAAGTGGAGGAGAATACAAATAATGGCTTGTCAGTAAATTAGGGAACTTGAATGTAAGAAGCTAGTTAAATATTTCCCTGCAGGTTTCAAGGGCTATTTCTTCAAATTGGGAAAATTGAAAGTAAGAATCAAGGAGGTCAAGACTGTTGTCAATTAGTATAATTGCATGAATGACTCAATTAGCAATAAATAGTACTTTTATATGATGTAGTTTCCAAAAGCTAGAAGGCGAGTACCTTTGTACGAGTGTTTTCCGGATTACATACATCAGTGTTATCCTAAACGCTAAACGGTAAACAGTCGGTCATCTACCGTTTAGCCCATTATTCGGGCAAAACGGGTGCTTAAACGAAAAAACGGCCGTTTAAACGGTCAAAACAACCGATTAAATGGAAACGGTGTACTACCGTGTAGCGTTTAAACGGTGTGTAAACGGGCTAAACGGTCGTTTAGGCGAACAGTGACATACATGATCATATACAATTGCGTGCAACTAAAACTGTATGGAAAAAATATCGTTGTTTGGTTATTTTCATGTGCATCCTTAGAATAAAAGCGTGGCATTAGCACGGGAACTATACTAAGTTGTTTATAGGCCTACGCAATCGTTTGTTTGTTGATGAAGCCAGACGTCGCCGAGTTCAAGAATTTGCTAAGGATACCGTGTCGCGTCTCATAGATTTAGAGAACTAAATAATATTGAAATTATTTACACGCTTGTGACACGCACTTTGAATAGATGATGGACATGAATTTAGTTTAATATAATAATTATTTTGTGCATTTTCATTGGTCAAACAGGTTCAAAATATGTGGATTGAGTAATGTTTGTCTGACATATTTGATTGCTTCATTTAGTTTGTAATATCGGAGACTTCTTGCCGATATAAAACATTATTTTAGCCGTATCACGGAAAGGTCTATATAGTAGAGTTTGTGAGCCTACGGTGTCGTGCTCTTAGTGATTGATAATTTCATAAACTTTGCTTTTTGGATTAAATATCAGTTTAATGTCTTACAATATTATTATCTTATCGTACGATCCGTGTGTTTTTAGTATAAAAGTTTAGTTGTCCCGTAGCAACGCACGAACACGCTACCTAATGAGCTACATAAGTTAATCGTCCATCATCTACTCCAGTTATCTACCTTGACTAAGTAAACCTGCATGATCAAAGCTTCACAAAACCCTTCGAAGATGCAGTTGCCATCACAACTCACAAGAAAGAAGAAACCCACCGAGAGCATTTGATGATCGATCGCCATTGCAGCAAAGACAAGTGGTATGATGATCATCAACACTTCATCACAAAGTGCATTCATTCTTGTCTCGAGTCACCAATCACCAGTCACCACTTCCCCGCCTCCTTGCACCGCAAACTCCGATCCACCGATCGGGCTCTGGCGGCAATCAGCAGAAGGCCGTCACATCAAGTCGCTCCGGCCGCACCAGAGTAGCCACCTGCTTGATGTCGCTCCCCCGCCGCCTCATCGCCACTCGGATCGCGAAGGTGATGCAAGCAATATCATGCCCAGCCCGCCTTGCCGTGCTTGTTGAGGCGTGCTCGCCAGCGAACAGGCGGAAGGCGCGCACCTCCATGGTGTCGCCGGCGCGCGCGCCATGGTGCGACACTGAAAGAGCGACCACGCCCCATGAGGTGGTATGTGGGCCCCTAGGGTCGTGCCGCGGCGACATGCGGTACGCTGCGGCGGAGCGATCGAAGGCCGCACAGCAGCCCGGCGCCCAAAGACGAGGCCCGCTCCGCAGCCGTCGGCATGCACACAGCGGCACGACGGCGCCACCAGCGATCCAGAGCGAGGCGCGCCTTTGTCATGGCTGCGTCCGACGGGGTCACCGCCAGGTGAGCACCACTGGCTGCTTGCCAGCGAAGTTGCGGAGGCGGAGCAGCTCCGCGGCGCAGCCCGTCCTCGCCCGCTCCTCCTCCACCGCGCGTCAACCTCCACGTCCCTAACGCCTGCGTGCCCGATCCCGTCCCCGTGGGCATGGGCGGCTCCGACGCAACCGAGAAGAAACCCTCCTCCGTGGATGCTGCGGAAGTGGCTAGCCATCTCCTGGATCGCCGTGGCCGCCGCGTACGGGTGGTACCGCACCTCCCTCTTCTTTGGCGGGAGGAGCTCCGGCGGGACACCCGTGAGGTCATCCACGTTGCGCTCGCCACGGGGCACGGTCACCAGAACCCCAGGTGCTCGACGAATTACGCCCCGTTCGCTGCCCGGGTACCTCCTGGTGTAAGGAACGCGCGCGCTGGCACCACAAAGGCCGGGGGGCCAGGCCGGGGCGTCATCCGGAGGTTGCATGGGGGCGGCAATGGCGGGGGAAAGGAGGGGAAGGGCGGAGGGGTGAACCGGGAGGGAACGGCGGTGGAGGAGGGAGAGTGAAGTGCGGCGGCCGCAATGGCGGTGGCTGGGGAAGAGGTGGGGTTTTGTGTGGCGGCAAAGTTGGTGGGGGGGCAGGGGCTGGAGCGGGCCAGAGCATGGCAGATTCCAGAGTTCCCATTGGTCACCCACTTGCTCTCGCCTTGCCTACCCTTTTTTCTCTCTTCATTTTCACACACACAAAAAATAGTATAGTTCTTTTTTAAAAAAATTCACAAACAATTCAGCTATTTCTCTGCTAATAAAAAGACATGTTTCTCTGCTAATAAAAACAATTCAAATACATGATAATAATACAGCAACGACGACCAAACAAGCCTATGTTATCCGTATGCTCAAGGTTGCATGCATCACGCATGGTTAAACCCGAGTCAATACTAAATAATGCCTCCAGAAAGTCATGACAAAGCAGTGGTGCTTTCAGAGAGCTCCAGAAAACCCGGGGGCGACATTGGTGGCATTGCTTCTTCCTGGGCGTCAACCATTTCCAGGATCTTTCTTACGGTTGCCTGCAACTTTTCGTGGCCACCTTCTAGTGTGGACTGACCAGCTGTTCCGTTTCGTTGGATGGCGTCATTTTCAAGACCCATGTTTGATGACTTTATTTTCGACTGTGCTTTCGCTGATGTTACTGCATTGGTAAAGACATCGGATTCTTTGAGGCCACGGATGATAGCCTGCAAAGACTGGGCATAAAATGTAGCAGCAATAAGAAACAACTTCCACGAGCTGAAAGCCTACAAGATTGAGATCTGGACTAACCATGGGCGCATATATACGTGTTAAGACACCCTTCCTCAAAAGTTTCAAATTGGTGTCTTTATCAGTCCATACAACATGTTCCCGGTAGCTAAACAAAGGTAGTCAGACCAATGTGATCTCTCTTAATTCAGGCAGGATAGGGAGGAATGGTTGGTGCTTGGTACACAGAAGGCTAAGGGTGTTACAAGTTCTCCATCTCCTCCTCAGTCGCTGTTGATGCAATTATAAAGGCCTGCCATGATAGAGTACAAGGGAGGATTCATTAGCTCTCCCAAGTTAGTTATCCAGTTAGCTACCTATGCACAATGATACCTAATAAGAGTCATAGTAGTTTCCTTTCTTTTTTTGGTAAAAAGACAGTTATATGGTTCTCTGGCATGGTTGGCTATACATTATACAATGGAGAATGGACCATGGAAAACATTTATGTGATTAGTATAAGGCACACGAACAAGGTACAATATTGTGCTTGTGCAATGCCCCATCACCCCTGTATCTAATTCAGACATAACTACATCCACTCATCCACTTTCAGTTAAAAAAAATATTACATGCATATATTGTGTAAACTGAGATTGTTTCCACCCATGACAGTTTCCACAAGCATTTCCATAGTATAATAAATCATCTAGCCATTTTTCTCCCCATCTCATTCTTTATATCATATCACTTAAATGAAATAAATGTATTGTTTCAACGTTTCAGCTAGGAAACAGTTATGATGTTGACAAGGTGGCCTGTACCCATAGGACAACAATAGATGCTATGCAGATACAGCAAAGGGAAGAAAAGATAGCTCACCAAACGGTCAAATTCCAAGATAAAACATCGCTTCACATCTTCTTTAGTTGGCTTGCAACCACACCTATCCCTCCTTGAGGTTAGGTCTGAGAACTTTGTGTAGGTGTAATGCAGAGCCTCCTCCAATTTGATTTCACTACAAAAGAAATATATAACTAAACCATCGAGTAGAAAGAAACTATAGTTTGTTGACTAACCATTTGTTTTAGCAAAAAAAACTCCACATATTGAGATATCTTACTTTGGGGATTTCATGTAATTATGCCATCTATGAGCACCATTTGGACACAAATGCTCTTGAACCCTTGCAGCCGATTTCCCATTACCATAAGTAAGGAAGTAGTTTGGATTACCACGTGTTGCTTCTTTGTATAGACCAAAGTATGTATCCTTCGAAGATGATCATATTTTTCTTAAACATGGAAACCTACAGCACAAAACAATATGATCAGTATAAATGATGCAAGCTATCAAACATAGACAACGATAATCGAGACCATTCCTATTATTTCCAATGCATTAATGAGTAGTTACAATGCGGTGTTTGCTAAACTATAGTTTTTTCTAGACAAAGAGTCGATATCCCCGTTATCTACAGTGTCGCACTTTGCTTCTCAAGTAAGCCAATTGGATCATCATTAGCATACAGAGCTAATTTTTTCCTTTCTTTTGCATACATGTTATAGATAATAGTAACTTCTATACCTCAGTGAAAGGATCCTTAATGTCATCACGCTCAATGCTGCTCTCCTGGAAAAAAGAAATATATACAATAATTAGATGTGAAGCACGTTACCATATTCAACAAACATGTTACTTGTGTGGCTCACATAATTGGGGAAGATAACCATGTCAACATTGTTAGGAACATCTAAAAGCAATCGCCTCAGGGAGTACTCTCGGGCACCAGCTGGGTGAATCAACTCATCAGTATCAAGGTGAATGATCCAATCCATCCTAGCATCCTGTGACAACCAAACAGGGGACATTCACATCAACCTCACGACTAAATACAAGGCCTTTTCAAAGTGAAAATGACAGCTAATAAAATGACTCCATAATTAGCCAAGAACTAAACTAAGAAACTCTTTTTAAGAAATCTGAGACAAGATTGAAACATTTATACAGTCATATTGTAGACAAGTAAATTAGCATATTTTCTAGAGTCTGCTACTGCTAAGAAGATGGCAAACAACACGAAATCCGGGTGCTCATCAGAGGTGGACCCAGAAAAGCACCCATAATTTTCGCAAAAAAACAAATATCAGAGTTAGTAGTAGAATTAATGCGTACATAGTCTTGTGATTAGATCAGATCGAAATACAAATTGCCAAATAGATTAAGCTAGGGTTCGTCTGGTTCTCGGCCTGGCACAACAGGAAGGGAGGAGAAAGGGTGCTTACTTCAACCATACCACAAAGGGAGCTCGCGCTATCAGGGGATCTCGTGCCACTGCTTGGGGGAGCTCGCACCGCCACCAGAGATCTCGGGCCGCCATTTGGGGGAGCTCGCGCTGTTGCCGGGGGATCTCGCGACACCGCTTTGGGAGCTCATGCCACCGGTGTTGGGGTGCTCATAGGAGCCCGACAGAGCTCGGGTGCTATGGGCGGGGCGCGGTGGCTCCAAGCACGGCAGGGAACGACACCGGCCTAGCTCTGTGTGTGCAGTGGAAGCGGCGGCCCGGATGACCGCTGGGGTCATCGGATTGGGGAGGACGCGCGCCGGCCGCCAGACATCTGAGACAATCACGCGGATAGTTAGCGCACGATGGTGGCCTGGCCATGGACCTTTAGGATGGGACCCGCCCTCATGGGGATGAGGGAGGAGGGCCATCAGGGCCCGCTCACGCTGACGCACCACCCGTGGGGCTGCCGCTGCCCTGTGCTTGCCGCCGCAAGCCTCGGGAGAGAGAGGGAGGGATGGAGATCCGGGGGAGAAGAAGGGAAGGAGCATCTACGACTCCGGCCACCAGATCCGGCCATCGTCGACGAGCTAGAGTAGGCCACCAGAGCTGTGTGGCTACGTGGCACGGGCGTGGGTGGGCGTGGCCACGCAAGGGCGAGGGCGACAGTGGTGCAGGGATGGCGTTGGGGAGCGGCATGCATCTCGATGGCCCATGGGATCTAGCGGGTCGCATGGTGCGTGGGGGCGGTGATTGCGACGTTTTAGCGATTTGCGCGTGGACGGGAGGAGGGGATCGCAGGCGTGGGCAGACGGACAAACCAAAACAAATGTCGCACCAAGAAATGTCCATTCTTTATTCTTTTTAGTTGTAGGAGATATGATGCTTTTCACTACCTTTCCTTTTTTACATCTTTATCCTACAACCGTTATGGTACATTCGCTGAATATCCTCTTGTTAGTGCAGGTGGCCCGGGGCACACTGGACCTCCCCTTTTTTGCACCGCCTTATCTCGTTGGGCCTAAATTGCCAGCCCAAAGGAAAGCCCATTCCTGGCCCGAGGTCGTGTCCGCGCCATGAACCCTCCTGCTATGGTGGAACCAGCTTCTATGGCCTCCGCTGTCTCCAGACTCTATGGCCTCCACGGCTCATGGTCATGGTCTGATGATGGCGGGCCTTGTCCTCAAAATATGGTATACTTTTGAGGCGCGGAGGCCCTTTGCTGACGCAGAGGCTGCCCCCCTCTTCCCCCTAGTGCACTCAGATCTGACCGTTGGCCTCGTGACGTTGCGTATTTTGATTGGATGCGGTGGCTCTGGAACCGATGCGTGTGAATGGACTCAACCATTGGCGCCTAGAAGGCAAAGCGTCCATTCGCCGCCTATATAAGGGGGTTGACGGGGGCTCCCCGTCTCTTGTCTAAGCAGTCACTTTCCCATCTTTTTGTTTCTAAGTTCTCGTCCTTGTTCCTTAGAGTCCTCTTTAGTTTTCTCCAGCCTTTGTTTTTTTGTCCCTAGCCTCCTCTTGGCTTTAGCCCTTGCCCAATATTTTGGCGGTAGCTCCTCCTATTAGCTCTCCTCCCTACGGGGCTACTTTCTTTGGTCCTTACCGCCATCTTCTTAGCGTTCGGGCGAGCGGGTGGTCTACGCGGTTCGAGGAGTGCATGGTTGCTAGTGCGGAGGCGCAGGAGCTTGTGGGCAAGATCTCGCTAGCGTCAAAGCCTCTGTTGATGAGCTAATCAGAGCTAAAGAGGTGGGTCTGATGGCTGGCAAGACATGGGATTTTAGGATTTCGTTGATGACCAAGAAGATGATTGCCAAGGTTGAGAAGGAAGCGATGTTCCCCACAGACCGAGCTAAACCTCCGTAGGGCGAGACTATGCCTTCACTTGGTAAGGAAACGCCGTTGTTTTCAAGGATTACTTTTCATGCAGCCATCGTCTACTGTCGGTGCAAAAAGTGACCAACACGTAAATATTTGTAGTTTTGCCGTACGTTGTGATCAGATGTGGCCTAGCACTCAATGACACAGGGTTTATACTTGTTCAGGCAACATGCCCTACATCTAGTTTGAGTCGATCGATGACTTTATTCCTGAGCCTAGGTGCTCAAAGTTTGCTGTGGGGTTACAAACGAGAGGGAGTAAGATGGGGGTATCAGAGGTCCGGTCGGACTCCGGACCGAAGGGCCAAGAGTGACGGGAGCTCTGACGTGTGCTAAGTGTTCGAACATATGCTCTATTTGGCTTTAGAGTTCTAGAGCCAAGCAGAGGGGATCGAAGTGATCCGTCTATTGTTCGTAGGAATCGTCTATGTCGTTTGGATCGTTCGAATTGATCGTCCTCCTTTTGGATAGAAGCCATCCCCTTTTATAGATGAAGGGGACGGCTATACAAGAGAGAGTGTGAGAGAAAGAGTGTGTGTGTGTGCTACCTAGTCTTGTTGCCCACGCCATCAGGTACAAGGTGGTTTGTCGGCGCTCACAATATTGTTGATAGCTGGATGCATGTGGTTGGTTTCACTGTGTTCTTCTGGTATGGCAAATGTCAGCGCCTACCATACTATAGGATAAATGTCGGCGCCCACAATACTGTTCATATGTCTGGAAGGTTGCGGAGCATCCTTCTAACATGGCCTGACAGTACTGTCCTACAGTTGTGTAGGGTACGGTCCTTGGTATTGTGGTTGACTTGAGAGCCCTGCCTTACTTGCTCCGCCTGATTCTTTGGGGCCTTACCGAGTGGGCGTCCCCATTCGGTCGTTTCCCAGTCAGCTCCGACCATGTTGGTCGGAGAAGAGCCACAAGTGGAGGTTCGGTGTACTCCCAGTCGGAGAGGTGGGTCAGAGTCAGAAGCGAGCGTTGTCCCTCCTTGGCCAGGCCTTTCAGTCGGAGAGGCAGGCCAAAGTCAGAAGCGAGTGTTGTCCTCTCCTTGGCCAAGCCTTCCGATCAGAGAGGTGGGTCGGAGTCGGAAGCGAGCGCTGTTCCTCCTTGGCTAGGCCTTTCGGTCGGAGAGGTGGGCCGGAGTCAGAAGCGAGTGTTGTCCTCTTCTTGAACAGGCCTTTCGATCGGAGAGGCGGGCTGGAGTCGGAAAAGAGCACTGTTCCTCCTTGGCTAGGCCTTCCGGTCGGAGAGGTGGGCCAGAGTCGGAAGCGAGCATCGTTCCTCCTTGGCCAAGCCTTCCGGCCGGAGAGGCGGGCCGGTGTCGGAAGCGAGTGTCGTTCCTCCTTGGCCAAGCCTTCTGACCTATCGTTAGGAGTTGTGCGTCGTTCACAACATCGTCTGCTGGGCCGAGCTTTCGCTGGCAAGCACGTTCATGAGGGACCCCGGGTTTATGAACCCGACAAGAGCCCCCGAACCCCTGGGCGATTTGGGTAGAATCGTCTGGGGGATTTTTTGTCTTGATAGCGTGTGCGAGCGAGCGCACCTACGGGTGTAGCCCCCGAGCCCCTAGGCGATTCGAGTAGAATCATCTGGGGCATGGCTCGAGGTTAGGATCGAACGAGAAGTTTGACATGACCTTGTCTTCTTCTGGGCAGATTGGGCGAGGGCTGCTGGGGCTCATCTGCATTTTCTCCCCTGGCTCTGTTTGACGTGAGGCGGCCTTGAGCCCTTCACGGGCTAGCCTTCGAACCCTAGTCGGTCGTTGCTCATGTCGAATGAGGCAACTTCCGCTTCGTGATGCAACATGGAGCGTTGTGATGCATTTAACTACATATGCGATGCTTCGGATGTATGGGATGAATGAATGAATGTGTGAATGAATGTGCGAATGCGTGTATGAGAATGGATGAATGAATGATCATGTATCAGAAAAAATAAAGTAAGTGGGATCGGTAGAGTTACCTTGATGACTCGAGTGACAGGCTTGAGGAGTTTTTATCAGATATGTCCGAATGGGATCAGTGCTCGTTGTTCATGATGGAGTTGGCATGGCCCACATGGGGCATCCCTCTGCTCCTTACCCGTCTCTTGGTATTCGCCTGAGCCATCCGATCGACTCAGGAAGCCCGTTGGTCTTTCCTTGGTGGAGATCCCATCATTGGGCCCTTCCAGGTCCTGCCTAGGAAGGCAGAGCGCCACCTATGTGTTGTTGCGCCTTGTTTCCCGTGCCTAGTGGGTGGTAGTCTTGTTAGGCAGGGTGCATCCCATCGGCCAGGACGCGTCCCACCACATCCCATCCGCATTGAATGGGGGAAGGGAGAGGGTTTGTTGCCCCAATCCTTCGCCTTTCCCCAACTATTGTGCCTCCTCCTTAAATAGGGGATGGGAGAGGGCTTTCGTCCTATTCCTTCACCTATTCTCCAACCGCTTGTAACACCCCTGGTGTTACGAGCTTTTTAGCACCGCGATTTAGACCTAAGTAAATTTTCGAAACAAGTTTCTCGGGTTTTTAATTTAAGCGAATCCTGTGTGACTTAGCTTCGTGGACTCAAATAAATGCTCAAGTTAAAGTACACAGTGCATAGAAATATTTAGGGATGTCCGATAACGATTCTAGCAAGTAAATGCGAATGACTTGTTCTGTGGGATTGAACATGAAAAACAATTTTTATAA